CGTAAAAATATATAAATAATAACAATAAAAGAAACTATTTACAAAGAGAGAATGGGATATGTAAATCTCAATCGAGTCGTTTCGTTCTTGTGAAAGATTTGGATATTCTAATCTTTACACTTTTATTGTCATTTGACGTTCAACAGAAACGTTCAGCGGGACCTGAATTACTTACATGAAATCTTAACATCCACATTCTTTCTGGAAAAAAATTTATCAGAAGTTATTAACTTAATTTTATGAATTAGTTTATTAATTTAACATAAGTTATTAAATTAACATAAGTTAAAAATTAAGTTTCATGCTTAGTGCTTATTTATGTTAACTCTTGGAATCATCCTCATCCCTTTATATGTGTTTTATATCCTTTATATGTGTTTTATATAACATATAAAGTTATATATCATATAACTCTTTTCATCTACATGAAAAGTTCGTTTATTGAACACCAAAATAAATTTAATTTTAAGTATCTGTGCTCCAATGTTTCCTCTACAAAACTAGAATTCAAATTGGCAACTTTGACGATAAGACCTATTAACGTAACCATTTCAACACGATGATTTGAATTGGAGACCTTTAAGCAAACTTACTACGTTGTAGAATGTGGTTTAAAAGAGAGAATGTTAAAATAAGATGTTATTAATCTTTGTTCCTGGGATATGCAGAAATGGTATTATTCAAGATCTGATTTTTGGAAAACTTGCTGAAATCGTTTTCTCTCCAAATTTAATGAAACAAGTAATTATTTTTAAGCAAATTAGATTTTAAAAACTCAAGTTTGTATTGTTTATTTAATTTGTTTAACCAGTTATTTTACGTTCAGAATCTTTACTGTCTCTTCTTTCTTTCAGTTTGTCGTCAGAATGCAAATTAACTCGCGTGTATTTAGGGGAAGGTTTGAGATTATGAAGTTAGGGCGTGTTCTGCCTATTGAAAGGCAGAACACAATGGGACACAATGTGGAAGATAGTTTTCAAACAATGTGAAAGTTTTTTGTCAAAATCTAACGCAATGTGAACATTAAATTCAACAGTATTATTTCACAAGCTGCCTTCGCCAAATACACGAGATTTCTATATGAGCTCTTAGTAGTGCCTATGAATGGAAATCTATTATTTTGAAGAACAATAAGCTGTGTTCGTGCATACATATACCGTCTTTCCTGAATATAAATCACAAAATAAATCATTTTTTTCTTTCCAATGGCGGACACTAGCCATTATAGGCACTGGCCACTACTAAGCCTAGAAGCAGTGGTTACGTTATTATGGAGGAACTTAAAATAGGTAGGCCACCATTGCCTTCTGTGAAGGGACAGGCAATTTACATCCATACCTTCTCCGTAGTTCTGACCTGGCCCTTTCGATACTTCAGTGAGTTTCACTAACCACTTTTGCGTTTTCGCGAAATGAAATGAAATTATTATTCATATTTATTGATCGCAGCTATTGTTTATTAAAATATGGCTTTGGTCATTTCACGAAATTATCACACTCTGAAAATCTACATCATCTTGAAGAACGAATCTACGATTGAGCATTTTAAAGTTATTTCCTACATTATAATGTCTTTGAAGCATTTAAATATGTAAATATATCTGCGTACCTAGCAAGCAGATACATAAGTAGTAAAATTGATGCAAAATATTGCGTACGCGTAATATTATATGTATAAATATATATATTTTATGTGCGTAATATTGAATTGCCACTGGGAAATGAAGATGATTTACTCCATCAACAAACCTTTCCTGTAAGCAGCATATTTGGAAACTTACCCGTTGGTAAAGCGGTGAGTTTCCAAGTAGACTGAAAACCTAAAAGTTCTCAGTGATGATTACCTTAACTTAACATATCCCTGATAAACGTCAATTATTTCTATTCACATTCGAGGGAGGATTGGAAACATGATTAGTATATCAAGTTCAATAACATTTTCAGTGGCGGTAATAATGATGACTTGAGATTAAATTGTAAATAAAACACATTACTTTATCTGTAGCACCGTCTATTTATCTATCCTTTTAATTAACCATCAACACAGACATTCATTTTTCTGCTTGCACAGCAATTATCTGTTTAATTAATTATAATTATTGCAAAACAAATTGCTTTAAATTTAGTATCCTAGCTTTGCTTTGTGAGCAATAAAACTGCGAAGCTTTAAACAGATGGAATGATAAGTAAACATTTACTCTCAAAGTGAATTTTTATGTTTCACCCATATGTTAGTCGGAAAACTGAAAGTTAGTATTTTTATAATTCATTTCGGGAAATTTTTATTTTATTAGACATTTATTTTTACAGTAAAGGTTTATGAGAAATAAAAATTCTTTATTGGAATTAAAGGTGGTGGTACATAGCGAACAGTATTTAACACTATCACAAAATTACCTAAATTTTGAATAGGTTTCATAATAGGAATTTTCTTTCACTTTAAAAACGAATTCACGTGCAGCATTTTATACCCTGAAGTGTCAGTAGAACTGTTATTCAGATGAACATTTTAGTTATGATGCAAAGACTT